AAAAAAAAAAGTCAAAAAAATTTGTGGGGTCAAGTGATCCCACGTGGATTCGCCCATGCTTACAGTCCTCCTTAATCATGTAAAAGTATCAAAATGATGGACAATAAAAGAAATTGTTTGTGTTTGTTACAAGGACAACGAGAGAAAATGGTACGGCTACATTGTAAATTGTATTGTAAAATAGGGATGACAAAAAAATTCGATACCCTCGGGGCCCCATCTCAAATGGGGTGGAGATTACCTGCTTTATTGTGTATTCGGGTTGGAGACGGGGCGGAGACGGGTAATGGGTGTCCCGTCCCGTTTAATTTAATTTTTTTTTTAAATTCAATATTTTAAATGAAAAAAATTCACGTAATTTTATTAGTTTTAATAGAAAATGACAACTAAAATTATCTTAAAAAATTAAACAAACAATAAAAGCCTTAATTTATCAAATATATTTGAATAATTTAACTTTCAAAAATAAGTAAATATTAAAAAATATATTATTGTTTCAGTATAATGAATGTGAACAATAAAATGAATTATCAAAAACTTAAAAAAAAAATTAAACAGGATAAACTGGGCAAGGTTATCGCCCGCCCCGCCTCGTCTCGCCTCACCTTAAACGGGTATCAGGGCGGGAACGAGGCGAGAAATTGCTTGGCAGGGCGGGGGGAGGGAGAGGTTGCCCCTGACCCCATTGTCATCCCTATGTAAAAGATTCAAAATAAAATGAAGTGAATGACAACTGCAACAACCAATTTAATTTGTTTCAATTTCCTAATTAATTTTTCCAAATGAATTGATGGTTATAAAGCCCTAATGGTTATGGTTACATTTATATGTTAATGCAACTTAATGGGGAATTGAAACCCCTTCTCATTCTAGTACTATATAAAGCAGTATTCCCTTCCTTAATCCTCACATCAAAAATTTTGAAAGCTCTCTCCTCTTTGTAATTTTCTCTTTTCTCTCTTTGCTTTCAAGAATTTTGTATTTGTAGGCCTTGTTTGGTGTCCATTATTTCCAAAAAAAAAAAAAAATTAAAAAATTGAATATTATTTTTAGGAGAATGTATGGTTAAAATGTATGAAAAAATTTTGAGTTCATATATAAAACATTTTATTATGTGAATGTGTGGTTGAAAATAATTTTATATTAAAAGAAGTTTTAAAACAATGGACATTAAATGGGGGCTTTAGATATTTATTTTCTAGCTTGGTGATAGAATTGCGAACATTTTCGGTGCGCCCAAAAAAATGAGGCTCTGCTTGAGCCCCAACGGGACCCGGTCGAGCTTTTTTGGAGCCAAGCCCGAGCCGCCATGCTTTTTCAACAAATTACTATTCAAAAAATATATTTTGGCCCAAAAATGGAACTCAAATAGGGGCTAAAGATCTACTCCAATTTCTATTTTCTTTCTTTGATTTATTGCTTAAATTGTAATTACCTTTAAATCTTATCAGATTTTCAAGTTAGGAAAAAAAAATAAAGAGAGTTGGGATGTGTTTTATTGTGGAATTTTGGTTAACATAATTAGCAAAAAAACATAATTACCATAGTTTCAAGATACACTTTCAAATCTAATAAATTTTTAAAATTCTTTCAGAAAAAGGTGGTCTGATAAAAAATTTTGTTTATTAATTAAATAGGATAAGGTCATGATAACATACGATTATGTTCACAATTATATACTGGTCACAAATCACACAACGTCAAAGTTACAAAGACAAATGTATTTCATAATTACAAATTTAATCACAAATCATACATTTTTATTGGTCACAATTATTT